AGATTTTTTTTTACAGTTTTACGAATGAAATGAATGAAGTGTTGCCTAGGCGTTTGTTATTTGTTTTGAAATATTTGTGTTTTTTGTAAAAGAATCGAAGGTATTGTTTTATCTAATATAACACAGAATATAGGCAATATAGTTTACGCATACTTAAATATTGTTATATTGAGTGCACATGCAGCGTGTTTGAATGTCCAATTGTGACTAAAGTGAATTGTGGTCATGCACCACAATTTAAGCGGATCATTTTTTAGCCGCGAGTGTTTTTTAGTAACTTCCCTTTATGTTTTAATCTAAGATTAAACAATTTAACTATATTTAGCTGATCTAAAATTTGGTCATGGTATATTAAACGTATACCTCTATATTTCGCTAAGAAGTTGAGGGCAAACCATCAGGTAGATATGATAATCAATTGTGCTTTTAATTTAGTAAATTCACGTAGTACTCGCAAGTACTTACGAGTACAATGGTAAACATTTTTTCCTAACGACGCAATCCCCGGTCCTAATTAAAATCAATTCAAACGACCTCAACAATTAGATTGCTCTACCGCATCGACACTAACAATATTGAACGCTGCGCCAGCGTATACGAGTAAAAACCCACCTTGTCACAAACACAATGAGCTTAAAATTCAGTAGTGATTGCAGTATGTAGTGTTTGGCCTCTGTAAGTCTATACGCTGGTAGTTCATAAGGGGTCTACCTTGTATCGCAGAACTTTTAATGTCATAATATTATTATACATATCAGCGGATGGCATAATCTTCAATTCTCAGAAAATCATTTGGTGTTCACTCATTTAGCACACATTCAAACGCATAACTTTTTAAGTAAGCCAGAATCATATTTAGGCATAAATTTAATATCCACTATAATTAAAAAGCAGAATCATCACATGTCACAAAAGTTGAGACAGAATCGTCTTTTGGCATACAAATATTAACCTTTTCTTTGTTTTATTAAAATTCATCTATAATATCAGGTGGTTGATAAAATATCTTTTGATGAATGTTCCAATGAAAAGTAATATTATGAAAAGTAAATTATTAAAATACTCGGTTGTCAGAAACCCTGGTGCGTGATGTACTCAAGTCAAATTCAAGTCACCAATGCCGGGTTAAACATAACTCTATAAATCCTACCCCATCTTTTCTTTAACTCAATTCCATAATGGAAATGTGCCCAGCAATTTTTGGCCTGTAGAATAAATTAACATGTCCACTCAATGAGACATGTCCCAAATACTCTTCCGAATTGAAGACTCAATGGACAACAATTCAAATTATATTATGTATGATGATGACAATAAATTGAAATCAATTGTTATTGAATACATATCTATACTAATATTATAAAGAGGAAAGATTTGTATTTTAAGTATGTTTGTAACGAATTGGCTCAAAAAGTACTGGACCGATTTTAATAATTCTTTCACCATTTGAATGCTGCATTATCACTGATTAACATAGTCTATTTTCAAAAAAGTTAGGGTTCCGTATGAAAACTACGATAATGTAACCCAACGTGTGTAAAAAATACCGTAAAATAGCCTTATATCCCGTACGCTGCTGAAGTCTTTGACAATAGAGCAAAATGATGTAGGCTGACAATGATGATGTATGAAATAGGCTGTGGTGGACTTTTTTACAGAACTTTTAAAGGGGAAGAATATCATTTCATACGTAATTTTTGTGTAACTTTAACCGTTTACCCAGCGCACACAACGGAATCTAGCAAATGTAATATTTTGACCCGTTTTTGCTTTTTTTTTATCGATGCTCCGCTGCTACCGGTCCTAGCCTGGTAATGTATAGCCTATAGCCTTCCTCGATAAATGCACTGTCCAATACATAAATAATTTTTCAAATCGGAACAGCAGAGCAATGTTGCATTCGGTACAACGGGTCCTAAACTACGCAACGAATTTTTTACTTGGAATGGAAGGTCTATAATTATTATGAAGAAAGTCATTGTGTATAATACAAGCCTTTGAACAAAAACTATAGTCTACACTACAGCTCTACACCGAAGCTAAGCGAGGGCGGGCCACTAGTAATTACATATAACACAGTACAACACGAAAGAAGTGTCAATTTTCTTCTTATAAAGATATTATCTAGTGTACACTCTAAAAAATTAAAAAAAAAAAACAAAATTACATACATTTGTGTGAAATTGAACGGCATATGAAAAATTCCAAATAGTGTCTACTGGCTGACTGACGCCGGACATAAAGTACCTATCTCAAGTAATTTTGCAATTGTTAAAACAGAATGCACGATTTGTCTTCAAAACCTATTGGAAAAGAGAGCATAATTTTATGAACTTTGACTAAGTAGGCAGTAGTACTTCTACGGTAGATACATAAATATTAAAGTAATATAGGCTATTATTAACCTTACCAACTAAAAATGTGATTGCAATTTGTTTAATAAAATAGGTAGGTAATCTCATTTACACAGTCATGTTCTACATTACTAGGCAGTTTTGTATTAAATGACGAAATTTACGGAATGAACGTAAAAATACATTCAAACCAATTGAAAAAGTATCTGTCTCGAGATTGTTTTAACGATATATTGTTTTAAACTTTCATGGTCACTAACATTATAGCTATCAACGCGATTGTTACCATGCACCTTGTTTTTTATGAGTCTCCGATATTAATTTCGGCACTGTTACAAGCGCCATGATCACGGAATAACTATAACTCCGTGATCATGGCACTTGCAACAGTACCGAAATATCAGAGACTTATAAAAACAAGGTACATGATAACAATCCCGTAAAAAGCTTTAATTGTATTAACGAATTCTCAACACCAAATATTAGACATAAAATATACTGAGCATACAATTTAACACGTGACACGATATTATTGAGATTATTATTTATTATTTTTACGATTATTTGATATTGAGGAGATCGATGACGCAAGTGGTAAGCGCGTTCGGCTGCGATCGTTAAACTTAAGTAACTTTCGCAGTGGTCGGTCATTGGATGGGTGACCAAAAATTACTATCTCGAGCTCCTTCGTGCTTCGGAAGGCACGTTAAGCCGTTGGTCCCGGCTGCATCTGCAGTCGTTAGCGCCCACCAATCCGCACTGGGCCCGCGTGGTGGGTCATGGCCCTATCTCCCCATTCCATCAATAGGGAAGGCCTGTGCCCCAGAAGTGGGAACATTAATAGGCTGATAATGAAAATGACGATGTTATTCCCAGAATCTTGAGCTACAATGATCCGCCTTAACCCCATCAAGCCGCGTGGATGCGCGGACGCAATGCAATTACACTTCATTAGTAGCTCGCATGCTAACGAAGTAATTGTCAGTTTCTCATCACTGGCAACACAATATAAATGGTGCTTACGAGTAACTCCAATTGAGGGTCTTGAGAATTAATCATAATTAATACTGCTTTTAGTAATTGATACACCGAAAAATATGATCTTAGATAGAAGCCATTTTGTAAGTAGATAGAAAGACAATAAGTTACAGAAAGATAATAAATAGTTTGACTTCAGGTCAGATTACATTAACACGAGAATTAATTAGAGCATTTTATACACGTCTTATTGTAGAGTATGCAATTTTCATAAAAGTGCTTTAGTAACTGGTGCAATAGAGACTCTTTTAGAAAAATTAAACCGGGTAACCCCTATTTTAGTTTATTAATCATACAAATACTAAATAGTTTCTCATTTATTTGAAAGTTCGATCGACACCAAAACCGACCCGTTTTCAATACTTCAGTGCATATTTACGAGAAACTTACAAATCGTTGTACTCTATCCTACATTCACGATAGGACTGTCGTGTTGGTATATTTGTATTACAAAATACTTTAAACTAAAAAAAGAGAGAGAAAAACAGAAATTAACTTACTGGTCGAAAGGTGAGAACAGGTGATGTGTGGGCCTCTGTTCTGGTGCTGCTTCTCTGGAGCCCGCGCTGCCGACTGAAGGTGCTGGTGATGGACTTGCCTCTGACCTAGTAAGCAAGTAAGTAAATATTTAAAAAAAGCAATAACCACTCCTTCGAGTTGGCCATAGATGACCGCTACAAAATGACGTCACAGGCTAAACACAGGCACATCAACTGGTACCGTCGACCATTGACGAATAGGGAACTAACTAACTAGTCTGTAGTAATAATTATTTTTTCGAACACCCGAGGCAATCTTTGGCTGTGATCAACATGTTTGGAAAACATTTTGATGATTGTGTATCCTTTATTCGTGTCTTATCTTATAATATCTTTCACCAACCAAAATAAGTTATAAAATATGATTTTATTTATTTTTTAAGCATTTAACTGCTAGATGTTTAAATCTAAAGAAAAGTTTACTAGAAAAATCCACGGGGACCAGGCAGCGGACGGGACTCGAACCTACGAAAAATTTCGACGCGGCTAATAGGGCCGTGGTAGCATAATGGTCAGTGCATTCACCCGGATAGCGAAGGATGCGGGTTCGAGTCCCGTCCGCTGCCTGGTCCGCGTGGATTTTTTTCTAGTAAACTTTTCTTTAGATTTAAGTTATAAAATATTTAATATTAATGTTGTAACTTTCTAGAACAAATCTCAGTAATATTATGAAATTTCAACAACAAATTGGGAAGAACCGGTAAGGTTGCTTACCTAGTAGTGCTGGAGGAGGTGCAAGGGGACGTAGCGGTCGCTGAAACGGGAGACGCCTCCCCAGACCCGTAAGACCGACAAATGAATAGCGTAAAAGAGTTTTGTTAAGATAAATATCTTACCACTTGATTCTAGGTAGCCTGGTGGGAAGATCAAGCTCTTACCTCTCGATTCTAAATGACCCGGTGGGCCACCTATATGGAGTAAACAGTGGTGACCTCCTGGGTGAGCCAGGCATGACTAATAGAGAGGCGGCGCTCGTTGACAAGATAAATCTCTTACCTCGCGATTCTACATAACCTAGTGGGTGACCGGTGAAGGATATCAGCGGTAACCTCCTGGGCGAACATCTTACCTCTCGTTTCTGGGCGACCTGGTGGGCGACCGGCGGGGAGATCTCAGCGGCGATCTCCTGGGCGAACCGGGAGTGACTGGAGGGGAGGCGCGAGGGGAGGTAGCGGTCGCTGAGACGGGAGACGCCTCACCAGACCCGCGAGACATGCCGCACTCGGAAGAACCCTAAGAACATGGGAAGGGTTATTTGTCATAGGCTATGTTATCTTTCTTGCTTAAAATGAAATATTCTAGTATTGATCATCATCAGCCTATTGATATCCCCACGGATATGGTAGGGGAAATGGGTTATTACACACCATGCCCGCCCAATGCGAATGGGTAGGTGCTAATGACTACAGATGGAGCTGATACCAACGACTTAAAAAGCCTCCCGATTTCCAGTTTTTGGTTACCCATTCAATGACCGGCTATTGCAAAAGGTGCTTTACTTCCACAATCGCAGACCGTAATTGAATTCTATTTTTACTAGTGTGCAAAACCCTGTTGGTTTAAATTTATTTAAAAGTCAAGTTAGCAAATTTTACGCATTTTAAGTTTATCTTCTAACACTTCTAGAATGATATCCAAGAATTTAGATAAATCAAATATTACAGTACCTTATCATCGCCAGGGTCCCTTTTAGTGAGGACCTCTGTGCCCTCCCTCTTTCTCTGCTCCTCTTTTAATCTTTCCGCCTTCCGCCATTTCGCACGTCGGTTTTGGAACCAAACCTAAGAACAACCACACCACTAAATAATTAATTTAGAAAGAACATTTAGAGAAATTTAACTTGTTATGGAACTACTAGATAAAATATTGTCTACAATGTGTAATAAATTTCACCCGTTTATTGTAAGTTATTTTCGACTCTCAATATTTTATACTGTCTATGCATAGTTATTTTTCTAATAACGACTAGAATGTCTAAATAAATAATAAATAAACATAATCCTCTCTTGCCAAGCTGTCATCGCACCAAAATTTTATGCCATGTCATTACCACCCCATTTCGTACCCGTTGTAACTCATAACTCGAAGATTAGAGATCATTCTGCATAGTTACTGTACGAGGGGACACCCCAGAACTGATTAAGAAGACCTCTAATTACTAAAACAGCAAACGGTATGAGAGTCCTACTTAGAATGGACTGTCCGAGTCCTGACCAGCGTAGAAGAACCGCCTTCAGAAATGAAACATCAAATATTGTGGGTCAACGACCACTGGTATGTCTACAACCAATGATAAAGATCTCCTTTTCCAAACATTCGATGCGAAAAGGCAGGCCAAGTTTTAGAGGGTGTTGTAAGCTGGTTACCGAAACACGACAGGGCCACATTTGGGCGCAATTTTCGCAATATACTTTTAATAAACCCCGTGTTGTTGGAGTGCTATGAAATCTTGTGGTGATTATCGGGTTATTCTATGCAGAAAGGACAGTAGGCAAAAAGTGTACCAATACGACTTAAATACCTACCTACTAAAATAGATTATGAATATTATTAGGTATTTCTTTTTTGTAAATTGCATAGAAATATTGTCCCATAAATATTTTAAATTTGTCGATTTTCCAGGTAGGAGAAAACAATTGGTCGTTCAAAATGGTGTGCTTATTACGCTGCAAAATTGAGTGAAAATAGGCATTACCTAGAGAGTGTTTAATACGGGCTGTAAGTACTGTGATCTGATTTTGCGCCGGTCAAGTGTGATTCAGGTATCACTAAAACGGCATACGGATAGTTGTACATACTCATAGCAACTCGAGGGAGGGTACGCGTAGCTACAAGTATTTATAAGGAATTTCAGGGTACGCGTGTACTCTGGAACGCGCTATGCGAAGAGTTCCGTGTAACATTTATATTTACATTTGAAAGACAGCGATGGTTAAAGTTGGATAAAAACGCCAAAAAAATAAGAGCCACCTTAAAATCTCAATTTTATTTTGTTTTTACAGGACGGACAGCAGGAATACAATAATAATATGGTTCATTGTCACCTTTTTGTGTACGAAACACCTTAAAACCACCATTCAAATGTCGCATCGCGTCTTCTCTCCTAGCTACTCTTTGGTACCTACGGCCGGGTCCCTCAACGATCGTAAGCTAATTTCGTTAAAATAATAATCCACAGTAATCCCCAGACGGCCTAATATTTTTTATCTCTTGCTTTACGACGGCTTATTTAATATTTGATAACGTGTTATACTTCCCCTATATTTCTCGGTCTAGTACAGTTGTTTGTTATGTTAAAATGTAAAGTTGGCTATGCTTTATTTTAGATAATTTAAATGATCCGTTATTAAAACTATTTAAAAAAAATCATGATTGACCAATGTTCACTTTATATTTTACGCATATATGATTCATAATATATATAATATAGAAATACCCGTTGGAACGATTGGAACAGTTCAAACCCAAGCATTTTTGTCTGTAATATCTCAGTCAGATACTTTATAATAAGCTTTCTTAATAAGTGTTTGTTTTATGGTCGATTTAGATTAAGTCAAGCTTAACTCTTGAATATTGCTTTGGACTTTATTATAAAAGCAAACACAGAGACCTCTAAACGAATTATTAATTTTGTAAAGCTTAAAAAAGCAGGTAAAGTTAAATTATTTTTACTTCTAGTATTAAGTGTTTCACTATTGTTTTTAATATGTGGGCCCCATTGCAGATTAGAATCTAGTGTAATTCCTAAGAACACTCAGGTATCTAAAAGGCTCATAATTCGATCCTTTATATTTACATTGGTTTTTACCTGTTTTACATTAGGTAATAAAAATTTCAAACACTTAGTTTTCCCTTCATTTGGAAGTAAATTATTAACATTGAACCAGTGGACTACCTTAGAAATAGACTTGTTCACGTCGTCAATTTGTGACTGCCTACGTTTAATTTTAAACAAAAGTGAAGTGTCATCTGCAAACAATACTATTTCGTGGTTATTCTTTACAAAATAGGGCTTAAACTCTAGGCTCTAAACATTATTGATATAAATTAAAAAAAAATGGGTGCGTGTACTGATGTAGGCGCGTGAGAAGTTATCCTTCTTTGGCATCGTTTAAAATTAGTTTTTAATTGCATGCAAATAATTAATTACAATAAATTAATAAAAAGTCTGGAAACGGACACAGTCAATAAAGTTCAGTTTTAATTTGAAAAAATAAATAAATAATCAAAATATTCAATTAAAATCGCTACTGAATATAATTTATTAGAACATATGTGATTTGCACTTGTATGAAACTCAAACACGTATTCCGAATATACAAACTAGAAACATGTGGATAAATATTATAAATATGAATACCTATAACTGTTACTTTATTACAAAAAATAAAGATGTGGTTTTTTGGTTCTACTACACCAATGGTCAAGAGATGGCGCTGTAGTCTCCTGAATCGCGCTTTGGTTCCGTTGTTCCAGATTAATAAATACTTTTGATATTATAAATATGAATACCTATAACTGTTACTTTATTACAAAAAATAAAGATATGGTTTTTGGTTCTACTACACCAATGGTCAAGAGATGGCGCTGTAGTCTCCTGAATCGCGCTTTGGTTCCGTTGTTCCAGATTAATAAATACTTTTGATAGGCCTTCACAATGCAGTCGTTAGCACCCACTAAAGAGATTCTATTTCTATTTTGTTGGTAGATTTTCTTAATGTGCGGTAAACACAAAAGTAACAGCATGAAGTTGGTCGCTTTAGCGACCATGCTGTTAATTTTTGTGTTACAGTGATGCGCGCGCATCTTAAAATTTCACTCTCATCATTTTTTCATAACGCGCCTAAAGAAGTATAACTTCAAAAAGAAAGGACCGAGGATTAAGCCCTGTGGAACTCCAATCTTAATCGACGAATCCGACATGTTTTTCTATTTATGTTCTCCCCCTCTGAACCCTATCACTCAAAAATATAAGATCCAGAGAGGTATCTCTAAATCCATAGATATTAAATATTGCCAGTAACCAGAACCAAAATTTTCTTAAGTTGAATAAAATATTGTAACTTGGATAGAATTACAGACTTTTCGAAGATCGTATCACACGGGACACATTTTCTGTTTTTTTCTTGATTGTATTAAGTAAGATTTAAAAATCTTCTCTACAATGTACACAAATATAAAAAAAAAACATAAATTATGTATTTTTTTTATTTCTATCAAAAATATTGAACTATAAAAGAAAATTACATAAAATGCTTTAGATGTAAGCATTTTGTTTTTTTCTTTCGATACTTTCTAACTAGTCTTGCCCCACGGTTCAGTGTCAAATTTCTAGTCCCTAGACAGATTAACATTCCCTAGGGAATACTCGTTCGAAGCAAATGAGGATTAAAATAACTGAGTATGATTATAATCGTTATTCCATGGTAGTTTATTTAATTATAGTCAATTTTAAAAAACCTTCCTTATCCTTTTAAAACATCTTTAGAAAATAATATGTTAATAAACATAAAAAACACCGAATTCATAAAAACAAAACCACTAAAAGTAAGAAATAATACAATTCTTTACTTATATCTAAACTACATGAAAGGTAAATTAATATTTGGAGTCGGTGACATGCAAGTTAATACCAAATAAACCGACACCAATTATTATATAAATTTGACCTAAGAAAGCATACTTTCTCGGTAGGTACTGTAACGTCCGTTGCGTTACAGTCTCCTTATTTGGGTAAACTCTTTTTTCATGTAATACCTACGGCTGGCAGTCATATTAAAAAGGTAATGTCGTGATTTTTAAAGATTTCAAATTGGGAATCTTCTGTCGTTTTATAGAAGATTCTAGAAGATAGACTGCAGGCATCAAACCATACGTTGATAGATTAAGCTCAATTATTATATTCGCCTGATTTCTAATAAAACAAAATATAAAATCAAAGTTATTTTAATTATTATTGCTACGCTCCTAGGGCCTACCCCTTTCAGGGAAGATCGCCGCAGTACTTAGCAAATGATCTCGAAAACAAAAACTTTGTTGTGTTGTATAAAATTATCAGAATGTCGCTGGAACTGCTCTGTCCAAGAACAAAATATACTACAACTACCAAGCAGAATGCAGTTTTATTCTGTTGACGAATTTTATTGTATTTCTTTAACTAGCAATCCATCGCAAAATGCTGCTTTTATACTATATCTTTGAAGATTAAGTAATCTTCAAAATTTCTTACCTATGAGATAATTTCCCATCAGAAAATGATGAGGATATTATTCAAGTGCTAACAAGAGCTCATTTAAAAAATCTACAATCTCAGAGTTAAACAATCATCATTAGAGTAGGCAATATAACCAAACACACCATCGCAAAGTAAGCACTTCGATAGCTCATTGAATAGCTATAACAATAAGAAAACACATTTTTACAATCGCTGACAAGGTCCCATCATCGCTGAAACACATGTTATCATGCAACCTTGTCAATCTCAACAGACTGCCCAGCGAACCAAGAGCGATCGCACCCCCGCTGTGTCATACAAAGCATGTTGCCAAGAGTTGCACTGGAGGTCAAGTTACATTAGTTTTGTATATGGCGAGGGTTGGCACAGTAAGGGGTACCTTTAGTTAAGCATACCTACTGTTCGGTAAACGGCAATTGTTATTGTAACAAGCTATCCCTTTAGAAGAATAACAAATATTGTTCGTGTGAAGTGGTCGCGCATAATTACCGCTCCCTGAACGTTTTGTTGTTGAGCTCTTGAGCGATTTTAGGGTGGTATTTTGAA